TAATTGAATTAATTTATTCTCAACATTTTATTTCGGCTTTTTTTCTCTCTAAATTTAACGAGTTTTTTTTTCTCTAATTTTTTTTTCTTTTTTTTCTCGAAATTCAGCGATTTTTTTTTCTCAAAACACAATGACTTTTTTCTCGTAATTTAATGAGTTCATTCACAACAGATTATTTCAACTTTTTTTTCTCGAAATGTAACGAGTTTTTTCTTGAAACACGACTTTACTCAACATTTTATTTCGGCTTTTTTTCTCTCTAAATTTAACGAGTTTTTTTTTCTCTAATTTTTTTTTCTTTTTTTTTCTCGAAATTCAGCGATTTTTTTTTCTCAAAACACAATGACTTTTTTCTCGTAATTTAATGAGTTCATTCACAACAGATTATTTCAACTTTTTTTTCTCGAAATGTAACGAGTTTTTTCTTGAAACACGACTTTATTCTCGAAGTTTTATGATTTAATTGTCAACATTTTATTTGGACATTTTTCTTGAAATTTAATGAGTTTAATCTCACATTATAATGACTTTAATCTCAAGATGGTTTTATTTTTTTATTTTTTTTTATTGCTTGGCCCTAATCCTCTTCCATAAAAAACTGATAAAATGATTTTAAAAACAATTAATAAAATTCATAATTTCATTTCAGTAATTAATTTACCATGTCACTGTGTTCTATCAGGTAAAACCTTTATTGGACTATAAATAAAAATTTGCTATTAGGATAAAATAGACTGCAGGGCCTGTTCATTTGACATTTACATATGCATTTGGCAAAAGCTTTTATCCAAAGAGATTTACAGTGCATCCAGGGTATATGTTGTGTCTGTTTTTGTTCCTTAGGCATCGAACCCATGACCTTGGCATTGTTTGTGCCATTCTTTAATAGTTGTTGAGTACCCTCTGATGAAATTAGCCGAACTGACAATGAAATTAGCCAAAGCCTACATGGACACACATTTTTTAGACGTGTCTGGGGTCGCTGTCTCAGGGTGGCTCCTTTCCTGTGTTTGTCTGAATGGCTGTGTCTGTCCACTGAAATCCATGTTTCAGCTTCAGTGCAGAAAAACAGAACATCTACACATCCAGCTTCCTCCTTTCTCTTAGAATAACGTCTGTCAGTCTCCTTCTTTCCTGGGCCAGTTTTGAAGGTGTTGATTGCTGTGTTTCTGTATGGGTGGAGTGTGCTTTAAAAATGCTTTGCACATCTCTGCTTGATTTTCCTTAGCTATGTGTCATCATATCAAATAATCGGCATGTTCAGAATAGTAAAGGGTGATGAAAACTGACAAAAAGAGATTGTTGTGGTTTCAGGTTGAAAAGAATGTGTAGGAGATCTGAGATATACTGTGGAAATTGTTCTCTAATTATGTGATCCATGACTTGATTTGATTGGGAAATAGTATTTGTATATGTAATTCTATAGCAGTTGTAAAATGTTCAGTTATTTGAAACAAATAGAATACACATAAAATAATTGCATGTTATGTTTAACATTGTGTTTAATATTGTATTATGTTTTATATTACTTGGAACTTAAAGAAATAGTTCACCCAAAAATGAAAACTTGTCCCAAAACTACCTCCTTCTTTGTTGTTCCCAGAATGTTAGGAACCAAACAACAGTGGAGTCCATTGACTTCCACTGTATGGGCAAAAAAACTGAGACATTTCTCAAAATATCTTCTTCATAGAACAAGATAAATTAAAATAAAAAAGGATTGGTGGGTGTTGGCGAGTGGAACAAAGCACTATCTATGTCATATGCTCATGTGACCCATTTTAATAATGCTCACAGAAACTCTCCAGACATCAGTACGACGTGCAGCAGTTATCATCAGCCTGGTGATGAGAATGAGGATTTGCTTAGTGATGCACTCCAATCAGATTTCAAATAGAGCCCAACATCTTTATTAGGAATCAAGGTAACATTAGTTTATGTTTTTGAAAGAAGACTGATCAAATATACAGTAAAAACAGTATTTTAAAAAATATATTATTGCAACTTAAAATAATTATTTTCATACATTTTAAAATGTAATTTATTCTGTAATGGAAAAGCTGAATTTTCAGAAGCTATTTCTCCAGTCTTCAGTGTCACCTGATCCTTCAGAAATCATTCAAGAAACATTTCTTATTATTATCAGCGTTGAAAACAATTGTTGCTTAATAGTTTTTTGGAAACCATAATATTTTTTTCTTCTTCAGGATTTTGATGAATAGAAAGTTAAACAGAACAGCATTAGTTTGAAATAGAAATATTTTATAACAATTTAAATGTCTTTACTTTAAAATAAAAAAGGTATTTCTTTCTTTCACAACAACACATTTTACTGACCCCAAACTTTCGAATAGTGTAAATTAGAAACTATAGCTCATTTAATGATTACAGATAGTTTACTAGGCTATGGTTTTCTCTGATTTCCTTACAGTTTATACTTCAGCATTGGAATACTTTTTTGTACTGAAATAAAAATGGCTGCCTTACAAACTTAAACAAACATTACACATGCACAGACTGAATTATGAAGAAAGGAGAGTGCCTAGGATGCCTTCGATGCTCTATGTTTAAATCCAGAGCCACCTGTCATCTCTTTACTGTTATCATTTTGCCGAAACTAGAAAAAATTAATCCTTGTTTTATATGTGTGAAGAGATGGGGAAACAGCCAAAAGCAACTAAACAACTAAACAACATACACATGCATATACTCAGATTTACTGAGGTGATGTGTTGTGTTAGATGAGCCCAAATAATCAATTATTCAATAGTAAAACAAATAGCTGATGGGAATTTTCATCCATTTTCTATTTTAATGGAAACTATGAATACAATGGTATTGAATAAAGTAAGCGGTTAATATGGGTCAAAGTTTAGAGGTTTAGAAAGTTTTCCATTTACTTGTTTTTCCTTACTTTCCATTTCTCTATGGCTCTGAATGAGTGAGTGAACTTGTAATGACACAAAGTCATTAACAGCCCTCTGGTGTCCCTTACACCAAATTAGCATCATTGTGCACATTATGCTATATATATATACAGACATACACAAACACACATGGACCCAGCAGCAAGGAGTTCTCAAATATAAAGGATTCCCACCACACACACACACACACACACACACACAAACACACACAGACCCTCGAGCAAGGAGGAATGAAACCTAAAAGATAGCCATTATATAAAGCTGACATGCATCTTTCGGCTCTCAGCCGATGAGCAGCATAAGCAATGAAAGTGGAGTGAAGAGAGAGAGAGGGATTATAGCTCAGGCTTCTGTTTAAATAAATCTCTGTGAAGTTGGTTGAATTTCATACAGTTGCCTCCTCATTGGGATACGTTAGCCTAACAAGACTGTGTGAAGGAGAGAGAGAAGGACACCTGGATGAAGAAGAGAAAGGTATCATGTAATCAGGTACAAGATTTTAATATCCTATAAATACTGATACAACTATTTCTGCTACAATTCTGATGCATCATATTGTTCAGCTAATGAAGAAAAAAAAATACAAGCTACAAAATCTACTACACTTGTTCTTTTTCTTGGGAAAATGTGAGTGGGGTTTGGCTGGGCTGAACTCACAAGCATGATGTTAGGATGTTGTGGGTGGTTTCCACGGTGTTGCTCTGTAACCCATTTTGTGAGTTAGGTGCCAAAAAGTAACTTCATCTCTAATGTTCATAGTTATTTGCCAACCTTGTCTCATTGAAAAAAACGTGCCTCCACCTACATTTTTACAAACTTCAAAAACTACATACCATTCACTGCATTTTTCCAGCTGATATGTTGACTAGTGGCAGGAACCCCCCCCCAAAAACCTGTAATCTTTTTCACACATATTATGATTATGGGGCAGATTATCAATTAATAAAGATATTTTCGCAAGGTTTCTTGCACAATGCTATGACCTCAAAATAATTTTACCACAGAGTGTGTGATTTGTAAATCAATATGTTTTGACATTTACATCACATACCCAACTCCTTGTGAATAACTTTTCCAGTAAACTTGCTCAGTAACTCAGTGGAGCACTTGGGAATGAGAGTCCTGCGAAACACGCAACATGATAAAAGAGCACAAATACTTGTTGAAGCAAGCTAAAATGGCATGGCTGCTTCAGCAAGTGCAGTTTTATTTTATGTTTGCTTTTGTTAACACTACTGGTTGATTTAGGGAAGGGTTTGGTGTAGGTGGTACTGGTACGTTGTGTTCTAACCTTTTTTTTTTGGAAATATTAACCTTTTTTGTGCCACTCACTGAACGTTTAATGCCTGAACTGCCACAATACGTACAACAACCAATAGAATAAAACATCGGCAGACTCACAGTCATCGGTTTTGGATAAAACTGAACACACTTTTAGTGCCACTCACTGGATATTTCATTTTGAAAGTCATAGTTTATGTGTGGAAGTGCATGTATGGTGAAGATATGTTTGTGTGGTTGTAGCATGAAAAGGTTTATTGATCGGAGCAGGGGGTAAAACTTCAAACTTCAACAAACACTTATAGTGATACAAGCGCAACGCATCACATCACCAACAAACAGCCTGAGAAGAACAGCCATTGTGTTCTATTACAATCTCACTTCCTCTCTTTACACGGTGGTATTCTTCTCACCAAAATAGAGTGCCACCAAGTGCATTCTGATGGGGGGGTTGAGGATTGGGATGGGGGGGGCAACTGGAGAGAGAGAAGGACGGAGGGAAGGAGGAAGAGAGGGGGAGGAGGAAAAGGAAGAGTAGAGGGGGGTTTGAAACACTCCCTGAGATGGCATTTCTCACAGTGTCCCACAGAGTGCTCTATTCCCACAGTGGGACAGGCACAAGGGGGCCTACGTTGTATGAACTCCAGTATCACTGGAGTGTTTTGCATAGAGATACACTGCCATTTTTCTCCATTGCTCAGTATATCCCCACTGTCATACAGACACCAGAGCTGGGCTATATCTACAGGACCCCCGGGCCACAGGACCCCCGTCCATCTGAAGAGGACAAGACCACAGAAAACTCAACCAAAGACGGTCTAATAAGTCAGAAGTCAGACAGGTAATGACCTTTTATGCATCACTTTAATTGTTCAAGAGATCTGTGGGTCAAATAAGAATTTTGTTTAATTTCTTTAATTTATTTCCATCATTTTGAGGTATAGTACAGAATATTGTATTTGTAATATTTTAAATGATAATATGTAAATATTAAATTTATTAAATAATGTTGACACACATTGTAGAATACTGTATTTCAAAAAATAAAAGCAATTGATTTAGTAGTTTTATTATTTAGATAATATTCAAATATTTTTTAATTATATTTATAATATTTCAAAATTTAATTATGAAATTTTTTTTACATTTTAACATTTCCATTTTTATGTACAGATTTTGCTATGTTAATGTTTTTTACAGTGTCACAAATAATCATTTTGAATCAAATATTATTACATTTGAACATTATTATGACATCACTTTTTTCATTCTAAAGGATTTTATGGTACTTTGGCCAAAGATTATTTCAGTGACTGACTGACTGTCTAGACTATTTTAAGTAGTAATGTGAATTAGATCACCTGTGCTGTGATTGGTGTGTAACCAGATCAGTTTTACTTATGTAACTACGTACAGTGGCCCCACTTAACCTACACCTACAAATGTATTAATGTCATTAAGTTAAATAACAAACAATGTTGCAATTGCTGATGCTAGAATTTTTTTCAGACCTAATTCCATTTTTCTGAGCCATGTTTTTATTTAAAGCCTGACCTTGTTTGCTTTAAAAGTGAAAATTCTATTGGTCTTATTGGTTTGCTGTTTTGTTATTTAATGCAGTGGCATTCATACATTTTTAAGTGTGGCTTAAGTGTCCAAATATATTTTAAGGGCCACTGTATGTTAAATATATTCTATATCTTTCATATTCCACTCGCAAAGTGCAGAAGCCCTGTATGTGATGACAAGTAGTGCCTGTCTTGATTAACAAGACATTGGCTAATCAGTCCAGTTGCTTTGACAGTGAAGAGAGAAACAGAACCACCATGTAAGGAAACATATCACCCTGTTAGCAGCCTGACAAGCAGAGAAAGGATTGCCTTCATGGCCCATATGAGGGATCCCACTGGATGGCAGGTGTTGATATGTGCTGGTGTTTTTGTATAATGGGGTTCTGCACTGGGCCGAGTCAGACGAGGATTATTCTCACTTCATATGGCTAAACTCAGTTTCTCATCCTTGACCTCCATCCATTAAACTGGCCTGTGTCAGTCCTGGAATGCCTGGCTTAAACAGTTGTTCTGTCCTTTGTTTTATAAAGCCTTATATTTGGTTTGCAAGTTCAAGTCCAGTAACACAAGTGCATACACAGGTTTAGACTTCCACTATATAC